TGTTTATTTTTATCAAGTACAACTTTACAAATAAAAGAAAAAACTTTAAATTGTACCATTATTTTATATATATATATATATATATATATATATATATATATATATATATATATATATATATATATATATATATATATATATATATATATATATATATATATATATATATATATATAATATATTCATTTAAGCATATGTATGTATATATATATATACATATATATGTATGTTTATTTATGTACATATATATGTATGTTTATTTATGTACATATATATGTATGTATATATATCGAGTAAAAAAAAAGGTCAAGTATGCATTACAAATCAACCTTTGTACTTTAAGGTTGTTCTTTAGCTCAAGGAAATACAAAAGTAAGAGAAAACAGTTTAAAAAAAAATCAAGACAAAATCAGACAAAAAAAAAAGATTTATTTTATGCCTGATTAGAATTTGTCAAACTTTTAAAAATATATGCTAAATATATTTTTGACACAAGTTTAAAACAAACTATAATAAAAAGATTCAAAAGAATTTTTATTTAAAAGTATTTTTAACAAACCTTTGCATCACATTTTTTGTATTTATCTTAATGGTTTTATCTCCAATTTTAGAAAGTTAGTTAACCTAAAGGTTTAAGGAAATAATTACACCACATTATTTTTATAGTTACTTTTATAAAAAGTTACAAGTAGATTAACTTAGGCTAAGTTATTGTTAAATACTTAATCAAAAAACAATAAAAAAACTGCAAAAAGTTATGGTTTGAAACAACCCATCCCTCCATACCTCACCCAAGAGTCATTTAAACTGTTATCATAATCACTAAATTACTGCTGCAAGTTCATTCATAGAATTTTAGAACTATTTGTCATGATATTACTTTAATTACTGGAAAGAGCTTTTACTAACATCTCCTTCTAACAATAAAGATATATCAGAAAGACAAAAGAACCAAACATTAATTAATTTCTAAAAGCGTTGAAAAACAAGAACAAAACATTTATAAAATAAAACGTTATTCATAAATTAAATTAAATGTATTAATTTAGCAATCAATAAAATGTGTAAATCACTGAAGCATAGAAAAAAATGTTCAGAATCTTTTCTTCCTAAATCAACTTGCAGACAGACAGTTAATACCTTGAGCTACAGTATGTGGAGTATGCATAAAAATTGTTTTCTGTTTCTTTTTTTGCGTTACAGGAGTAGGTACTTGTTTACTATTCTGTTGGTTATTATGTTTTCTCTTGCATAAGCATAGTAGTGGTTCCTATAAAAATTAATATCAAAATAAAACTAATAATACTTGAATTAAATATCTTTTAAAATAGTTACCGTTTTCTGAATCTGATTCTATCTGAGTATCACTAGTAGTGGCAAATTCAAATTTATCACATAACTTATGATCTAAGAATATTCATTCAATTTAAAAATGTTCTAAATACATTATATAATAAAGAATATATAATAAAGAATATATCATAAGAATATAAAAACAAGTAAAAAAAAGTAATGACTTAATGTTTATATAATAAAAAAATTACATTATCTCCATGACATTTAGTTTTGAGCAGCTTAAATCTGTATAAATTAAACTGTGGTTTACGCATTTCATTGAAACAATTTATCACATTTAATGATGATGGCCAGCACAAAAAATTATCAATTGAATTTTCTCTCTCTATTTCTCTGTATTTTCTATCCAAACAGCTCGAATGTACATTTTGCTTGCCCTACTATACTTTTTCAACTGGAAAAGTATAGTAGAAAATATAATAGAAAAAATACTCATATATAAAAAATTTGTATATAAAAAATAAAACTTAATATATTTAAACAATATAACTTTCCATTAGTTAGTAAAAAGCCATCTTAGGTTAATAAATAATTATTCTTTAACTGTTCCAATTAAGGCAACTCTTCCCTGTGTGTGTGTGTGTGCGTGTGGTGTGTGTGTGTGTGTAAATATATAAAAAATATATATATACATATATATAATATGCATATACATATATATATATATATATATATACACACACATATATATAATATATATAGTATATATAGTATACATACACATATATATAATATGCATATATAATATATACATACATAATATAAATATATATACTATATATATATATATATATATATATATATATATATATATATATATATATATATATATATATATATATATATATATATATATATATATATATATATATATATATATATATATATATATATATATATATATATACATATATATATATATATATATATATATATATATATATATATACATATATACTATATATACTATATATATATACTATATATACTATATATATATATATATATATTTTATATATATATATATATATATATATATATATATATATTATAGTTTACATTTGTTTAACTGACATTGCAACTAAAAGTCAACCGAATATCAACGTTGAAACAACGTTGAGAGTCAACTAGGAAGAGTAGTGTATTTCATGTAAATTAAAAGACTACAAAAAATTCTTTTAAGGGAGTATATATAAGAAATAAAAAGAATGTTAACATTATATATATACATTTTTTGTTAACATATAACTATATATCTGAGTTATCATTTATGCCCCGACCACCACCATTTGATCTATCGGGTGCATATTTCAATATATTCATGATATTTTTTCTGACTTCAGAGACTGTAGCAGTTGCTTTACTTAAAATGACGCTCTCTATAAAAAAAAGTATTGCCTGAGTAATTTGCAACAAATACAGCAAGAAATTCAAAATAAAATAGCACCACGGCATGAAAATGTGTTTTTCAATAATAGATAACATATTCATGACTTACCAACAACAACCTCACAAATGTTTGTGCCTTCAAATTTCTTTTTACCCTTGCTACCAGCCATGTTAAACTTTGATTGTAAACCATTAGTCATCAACCTACAATAAAACATTATTATTTTTATAGATACATTGAATATTGATACATAAGGTTAGCTAGCTCAATGGTGCCGTGTAATCTGCGGAATTCCTAATGGTTTTAAAATTCCTAAAATTCAATGACTTTTTTGTTTGTTTGTATTATTTGGTAAACTTAAATAAAAATTTTCATATTTTAGAATATATATATATATATATATATATATATATATATATATATATATATATATATATATATATATATATAAATATGAAATACCTAATAGTAAATTAAATCCATATTATTAAACACTACTTTGTTCAGCAACTAACCTTTGCATCACATTTTTTGTATTTATTTTTATGGTTTCACCGCCAATTTTAGAAAGTTTGTTAACCTAGAGGTTTAAGAAAAAAATTCACATTTTTTTCATCTATTTAAAAAGTAAACATAAAAAATTATGAATAGATTAACAAAATGTTAAAAAAATAAAACCAAATACAAAATAAAATGGTTTAAAGAAACCTACCACTTCAGATTTCAACTTAGAATCGCTTAAACTACAATCATAATCACTAAACAACTTTAGCGAATTCATGCATGGAATTTCCTGACTATTTGTCGCAATATTATTTTCATTACTAGAGAGAGCTTTCACTAACATCTCTTTCATTTCTGCTAGTGCACATATAACTTTCTTCTGAAATTCTAATTATAAAGATACAAAAAGAAGTTAAAACACTCTAACAGCAATCAATCTTTAAAAACATTGAAACACACCATTTCAAAATGTTTAATAAATTATTGAATTTTGACATATGTTATTGTTTTATTGTCTCAAATCTAATCTCATATATAATGTCTCAAAGATATTTACTTGCTTATATTACTAATAGAATTAAGTGAATGTCAAAATAAATAACAAATAATATACATACTTTCCTCAGTAAGTGGAAATATTCCACTTAATGATGCATCTTTTCTAGTTGTCTTTCTTATAAGAGAATTTAATATAGGTGTCTCTGGCAATAGAAGTTCTTTTCTCTTTTGAGGAAAAGCACATGCACCGCCTTGGCTTTGCACTATATTAAAACCATCTTTTTCCTCACAAAATCCTTGCGATTGTTGATCTAAATGTTTTTTTAGATACAAGCAATAAAAACACTGAATTATATAAAAGAATGCTCTGATTCTTTTATTTATAACTTTTTAACCAATACCTTGAGCAACAGCATGTGGAGTATGCATAGGAATTGTTATTTTTTTCTTTTTTACTTGAGTTACAGGGATAGACACTTTCTTACTGTTCTGTTGTTTATCTTTAACTTGGTTTTGCTTCCTCTTCAATGAAAATGGTAGTGGCTCCTCTAATAAATAAAAATAAAACTGTTAATACTGAAACTAAATATTTTTTTTTAACTTTATTATAATTAAATACACTTTAATTAATCAAAAAATATAGCAAACATCTTGCATCAACTTAAGAAAATAATTACCATATTCTGAATCTGATTCTACCTGAGTATCACTGGTAGTTGCAAATTCAAAGTTGTCACACAAATCACGATCTAAAATAACCAATTAAATTTGAAATTATACTTTAAATATATAACATAATATAGAATATTTCATTAAACACTAAAAATAACATATATATAGGGAGCTAATTAAACAAACAAGGAAAAAAAGGAATGACTTTATGTCAATATAAAAATTACATTACCTCCACGACATTTTATTTTCAATAGCTTAAACCTGTGCCAGTTAGCTTGCGGTTCACGCATTTCAGTGAAACATTTTATAACATTTAACGAAGATGGCCAGCACAAAAAATTTTCGATTGCCCAACATTCTGGTGCTGTACCCTCAATTTTTTCTCCATTTTCAATCCATACAGCTCGTATGTACATTTTTTCTGCCATTATAAACTTTATTTAACTATTAACACTTTATACTGATTTATAAAAGATTTATT